TGGTATGACAGTCTGTGTGATAAGCAAAATAATAAGTCATACTTATTAAAGCATCAGCCTGCCAGCCCAAACCCATTTACCATGCCCAAACCCTTTAACTTTCAATTGTCCTTCTGCCTCCCCTTCTCTGCATGTCCAGCTAGGCTTTCATCAGAGACTTTATCCTGCAGGTTGGAGAGCAGTAACATGCTTGTGCTTACCTTCCCACATTGGTGAACAGTCCTACACACCAGTGGTGAAATCCTGGGCACTAAGGACATCAATGCCAGCTCCTCTGAGCCCATTGATTTCCGCAGAGGCTGGGATTTCTATGCACATGAATAAGAACAGGTTGTCTATACACATTTTGCACATTCAAACCTATGGGTAATGGACTTGATTTAAATACAAGTAAATACTTATGTCAAAGGCTACCAATGGTACTTCGTTTATAACATGATGAATATGTTAGTCACCTGCATCTTTTATCTCCCAACACCACCTTGTCCTTCCTCTCCATGATTTTCTAATTGATATCCCTATTTGCCCTCTATTTCTCTTTTAATTTTATTAATGTTTTTCTATCCCTTTAATCCCTCCACCCTGGCTAAAAAAAGTGTAAGGTGTTTTTTAATCATCCTTTGTTTCTTGCTCTAATTCTCTTATCTTTCTTTGCATTTCCTTCCCTGCTACTTCCCTCTTAAAGAAGTCCATGAACCAGGTATGTGACTTCTGAATTCCTCTGCGTCAGTCTGAAGGGTTATTGTGTGCTGGCAATTCAATTGTGCTTGGTAATTTCACAATTGGGTCATGTTTTGAATTGGGACAAAATAAAAACTTTTCAAACAAACAGCAGCAGCAACAAAAAAGGAGGAATGCCACATTTGGCAGCTATTCAAAATATTTTTTTTTTTAATTTTGTCAAAACAAAACATTTTGTTCGAACTTTTTTTTTCTTCCCTCTTTCCTCTATGGAAGATTTCCAAATTCTGAAATGAAAATTCTATTTTAGATGCTTCTGAAGCACTAACTTTATGGATAATGTGGGGTGTATATATAGTGTAATGCAAGAATAAATCTGGAATAAGAGATTGGCACAAGGCAAAAAATGAAAGGGTTTTGTTCTAGAGATGTTAATATCTGTGAAACCTTTTATGGTTATGAAACTGTTTCTTCTTTTTAACCAAAATCTTAGCTAAACCTACATGAGCTTTGAATTATTGAAATTTAATTGAAACTATGATTTCTGTTGGAAATTGATACCAGTAACTCTAAAATTATACTCAGGAATTCAAAGATGGTGGAAGAAAACAGACAAAAATCAAATATTAATGATAAACTGTAACTTGCAGCTTCCTTACACCTTCCACCAGTAATAATTTCCTCTGCTATGTGATGCTTAATAATGAGGGTAAGAGCTAACTGTTGCATGAAAAACATAATAACATCTTTGTAAACAAGTATCTCAATGTATAAGCTGTAATAACAGCCACTGACTGGACTCAGTCATCCTCACACTGCACACAGGAAAGTTACAATGTTTATTATCTGGAAAAGCAGAAACTGAACTTGCAGCATCCTCCGAACTGTCTGCGAAAATGAGTCTGTGCCATTGGGAGCAGCTTTATTAAAGCAGTCACATCTCAGCAGCTGTCCATCCCAGCTATTTCACTCTTTTGTCCACAGATGGAGACCAGCCTCTTAGTTTAGATCAGCACTTTAGCTAGGGCTGGAGTGACTGAGGTGAAAACCATGATTAATTTTTGCATGACTTAACACTTCAACAGTCGTCTGTGTGCTGCTTCCCATTTCCTTCCTGTTTTCACTGCTTCTTGTTTCACTCCCTTCTCTCCTCCTTTTACCTGTATTCATTCTTGTCTATTACCTGCTCCTAAGTTTTTTCTGAGCTTGGTTTGTACAAGTTAAAGGTCATTATTACCATCCCAGCTGCTTTGCCTGCCTCTGTATCTCTTTTCTCTGGTATTTATTGAACTGCTTACTCACTGCTACTTACTACTTGAGTGTTGGTCTCAAGCTTCGACATACATACGAGCTTGAAATGTGTGCAAAACACCAGGTACTGATGTAATCTGATTAACAATAAAGCCATACCTACAGCCTTCCCATATTTTCTTTTCCCTCTGTAACATAAAGCATTACAAACATGAACGAAAATACAAACAGAAGATGTAAATATAACAAGTTTAAAAGAAAACATTTATGTCAGAGGGAGACTGTCCCAGCTTTTCATATCACTGTAAGATTACTTAGTTTCTCTGTTATTCATGCTGTCTTTTGTCTAACACATCTTCCAAGTCACAGCTTTGATGTGCAGAGTTCAGAGTTGTTGTTTTTGTGTGATTCTTGCTCTAATTCCTTTATTTTTCTTTGCTGACATTTTCCATCTAACCAAGGGCAAACGTGTGACATCTAAATTCCTATGTATTAATCTGAAGCATTCCTATACATAGGAATTAGAAGATGTTGAAGAAAAACAGTCATGAAGAATCAATCCAATCTTAAGATTCCCTAAAATGTATTTCCCTAATTTAGATCCCCAAAATTTACATAGGAAAGTATAATTATTGTTTGTAACTGGAGAGTCTAAGAAGCTTAGAAGAAACAATGGAACTAGATGATTTTTAAGGTCACTTCCAACCCTAAGCGTTCTATGATTCTATTATTTTAGTGCCCCTTGAAAACTTTTCGGGCTGTTCCTCTGCCAGGGCAGAGAGCAGGTACCTGAGCTGCTGAAACACAAGCTGCTTCCACCTGCAGGTATCACCTGCAGCAGGATCCTAGCATGCAGGCTCAAGCAGTTTCTACACCTTTGCAGCAGAGAGAAGCCCTTGTGTTGACCTGGATACATCCAGTTCTGCAGAGCTAAGCTCCAAATCTGACAGTAGAGGTTCTTAGATGGTGGAGCTTCAGAAGAGAACGTAGAGATAGATCCAAACCAGTACTTCCTTCAGTATCTCTGATATCCCCACACCTGCTCTGATAGCTAAAAGTGCATGTGCATAGCTGAAACATAGGTTTCTCTGCACACTTTTAAAACTCTCTCTTGTGTACGTTTTCTTTCAAATTTACAGATCACCAGTATTACCACTATTGCCCACTGTTAATGTATTTGCATGACATAAACTTTTGCAATTCATCAACATTCAAATTCCCTTTATCTTCATTTTCTATGGCATTCCCTTCCTCACCACTTCACACCCTACTGTAATTACTCTTCTTTTCCACACTTGTTAACACTTTGTCCCTATAACCTAGTCTGCAAATGATACTCCTTCAACCCTGTCTTACCAAAGTTTGAGGTGATCCCTTCCTGAATAACTTATTTCTAATTCTTTTATCTTCCTTTCCTATGTTTCCCCTGACACTTCCTACTAAACGAAGCCCCCCCTCCAGGTATGTGATTTAACTTCTAAACTCCCCAGTGTCTGTCTGCTGGGACAGTGTGGGTGGAAAATGAACGCAAGGTGACAGGTGATAACAACCTATCTGTTAATGGTAGCTTGTAACTTGCATGCCTTTGGGGTTTTTTTTATTCTAATGTTTTTTTGTTTTTTTCTCAGTGAAGTGTAATCAGCAGTCAGGAGGAGGAAACTCACCTGTTACATGCAACTTCTACTAAAAATTAGGGGAACACATATGCTATTACAAAAGAGTAGCTCAGCAAAAAGTGTTCTTGTGGAATAGGTTAAATTCTGCACTGTGATATGAGAAAGCTTTGTTTCAAATCTTGAAGCAGAGTTTAATCCATTGACTGTACACAGGGAATATAAATACTTTGAGATTCTGCATTATTTTTATGCTTGCTTTCAAAATACTCAGTGATCCATGTATGGCTGAAAAGCAAAATCTGCCCTGCAAATCCACATTGCTGATCTCTTTCTGCTTTGCCAAAAAAACAGAAGAATGAAATGTAGACCTGCACAGACTTTGAATGACCCCTTTCTTCCTATGAAGTAATCTGTTTGCAATTCTACATTACAAATGGATGTGAAGAATAGCAGTACATTTATACAGACATCAAAGTTGTCTTCAAGGAAGAAAATGGCTTGAGTCATAGATCTAGAAAATAGAACCAAGCTTCTTTGGAAATCAGCTGAATGCTGATGACGAGTTACAGCAGGTATTTCAGTAGGGTTTGGAACCACACCCTATTTATTTCACATGACTGAAATGCTGCTGTAGAAAAGGGGGGATCCAGTTGCAGTTTGAGAGTGCCAACTATGTTCATGTGCATATTTCAAATCAAGATAAACCTTTGTACACTGTGCTTTCAGGTTGTGTTTTATGCCATATAATGCTCAAAAGTTTTTTCTAAGCAATGCACTATTCTTGTAAATCTGCTTGTTTCACCTAACTGAACTCCTTTCCTGTCCTGTGACTTCCATTTATATGCTATTTCGAATTTAATTGATATATTTTACTTCAGGTTTACTTCTTCATTCCCGTCTCCCCTTTTCCTCTCTGCCCCTCCTCCCATTTGGCTCAAAAGCTCTTTTGGTGTGTGAAATAATGGGTTTCTCATTCTCATTCTCTTATTTTCCATTGCATCTTGTTCCATGACACTTCACACTTGAAGTTCAAGAGCCAGGTATGTGACATGACTTCTGATTTACTCCACCTAGTTGCAACACGAGAGAGTGTGTGTGTGTGTGCATGTATGTGTGTGTGAAAGAAAGAAAACAGGAGTCCTGAACTGGTAGAACAGAACAAACCAAGAGAAACAAATATTAACCACGGTGATCACTTGCAATCCTTTTCTCCTTTAATCTCCATGCTTACTACTATTTTAACCTTACAGCATTTTTAACTCCTGACAGACTCTCCAGATACCTTTTCTTTCTGCCTTAATTCACTAATTCCTTTTTTTGTTTTTCTTCCTTTATTCCCCCAGCCTCCCTTCATGCATTCCCTGGTCTCTTTCTCAGGCTTCCAAGACCTTTAAACACCTGTTCTGTTTCTTCTTTTTTTCTCTTTCCTGTCTTTCCATCACTGCTTTCATCATGACACCAGCAGAAGAAGCTCCTGAAGAAGGTATGTGATGCACCTACAGACTCTCATCCTTTTTCTCTTTCAGTGCTGGGGAAGCAGTGTTAAGAACACTGACCTTTTTCAAGAACAGAGAGAGCATGGGAGGGAAATGGTCTCTCCAGATGGCTCTGGATGAACATGGAGAAAAGGCCGTATGTTTGCCAAATTGAACCACCAAAAAGGTGTTTTTTCTTCTTGTTCAATCTCTAGAGAGTCCGAAGTTCCCAGCATAGTAGGGAGGGAGTGGGAACAGTTGCTCTTAGGAGAACAGTGCTTGTAGTGGATTCACTATTGTGTTTCTTCTCTTTTGCTTTTATCCTTCAACCTACAGCTGACGAAGAGGGCGAATACTATGATGGTAGTTCAGTGTTGTCTTAGGACAACAAAGTCATCTTTCTAACATCTCACTCCTACTTTTGTATTTGTTCCTCATTTGATTTTGAACTCAGGAACTGGGCCAAAACATCTCTGCCACAAAGAATTGCTCACTGTGCATATCCAATCACTCTTGGGGGGGGGGGGTCACTGTTGTATTGAGAAGCCTGTACATCCTCATTAGGATAGTAGATGGTGAAAATCAAGCTCTGGAAGCTTGCTCTGGACTTGTCTTTCAGCTAGGACCTGTTGTGTCATAACCTTCTCTATACACCCAAAAGCAGGAAAGTCTTTCTTAAATCCCAGCAGTGTACTTGAAAATGGAGATGAGCCTTGCATAGACATGCCTTCCTCATCAAACCTTAGGAGGTCATAGTCTCCAGGCCTGAATGTACAGATATTTAAGCTTCTGCTTCAACCATGCACTTAAAATTGTGCTAAACATCAAGCATATGAATAAATTTATTCAGACTGGTGGGGCAGGCCATGAGCATAATAGAGCGTGTTTGTAATACCTGGTTGAATGGTCACTGGAGTACATGGGTGGGGACAGGACTCATGTGAAAGGACCAAATCTAAATGATTGCAAGGTCAGTTTTGCTCTTGTAGGTGGGCAAGACAACTGAGAACCACTGGATCAAATTAAAAAACAGTTTAAGTATATAAAAAGATGATCACAGACTTTTACAGGCCTTTGAAGTAGCTCGGTTGTGTTCTGACTGTGCCAACCCCTACAACACCTGGTCAGCTGTTTCGAAAGACAAAGCCCATCACCACTTGAAACCACCTTGCATTTTCTGTTTCTTTGTTTTGTTTTGATTTGGGGTTTTTTGTAGATTTTTTCTTTTTGTTCACTTCTTTTTAATTTTCTTTCTCATTTTTCAGGTTTTTTTTTTTTATTTAGGGAAATACCTTGAGGACCTTTCTGAGCCCCTGTCTCTCCTTCTTTTTCTCTTTCTTTCTTTTTATTTTTAATAGCATATTGATATCCCCACCCTCCCCCAAGGACACAGTGTGAGTTAGATATGTCACTTCTGAGAAGTGGGATTAAGGGAGGGTGTTCAGAGATTTCTGAATGAAGTGAAGGCAGTTCAGATGGATTCACAGAAAAGGGGAGCACAGTGTGAATATTTCATAGATTTGTCAGGAGAAACCAAGATTGTATTTATGGTGATGTGTACTCTTCCTGTGCTAACCCTTTTGGAAACCAGAAACTCGGAGACTCTTTAATCACCAGAGCAATGAACTTGGATTTCCAGTGGCTCTTGCCTTCTTTTGGCAGGGTTGTATGTGGGGATTTTGTCACAGCCCCATGGTTCATTGGCAGAATGACCGGAATGTCAGTCAAAATCCGCCATAGGAACAGGAATTTGCTATGACAATTCCTGCTTATCAGCAATTTTTGGCCCAGTTCCTTGACTCAGTGTCTTGAAAGAAGGTGCATTTCAAAATAAATCACATCCCTGGCCTGCTTTTGGTGCATACAGTATGGACCGACGCTGGGTCATGCACTGCAATGGACAGATTTATTGCTGTTAACTTTTATATAATGGCTCCTATTTCTTTGTTATTCCCTTTTCTGGTTTTCTGGAGGTACCTTTAAATATTCTAACCACAATTTCTTATTTCAAGAACAACTAACCTTAATTTTTTTTTATATTTTTACGATTGTTTGTTGGTTTAGTTAAGTTCAGAGTGCTGATTTGGTGGCAGCTGAAACCAAATTCACACAGTTATTGACAGACAGGTGTTGATCCTGGCAACCAAGGTCAACAAACCAACCCAGTCATTTCCTGTCTACTTTATTTTTTTCTCCCCCCTCTCTCTGAAGTGTAACTAACTGGCAGCTTTAATTTAAACAGGAATGTTTATGAAAATTATCTGGGTATGTCACAAAGGAAGGGAATCCTGTGTGAATAACATCCCTGATAGACTGGTTAATTGTGATTCATTTTCCTTTTTCCAGATAGAAAACAATTTAACTAATGAGTTAAGAAGCTCACTGGCTATTTGAACAGCAAAACAATTTAAAAAAATAACTGAAGAAATATAGAAGTATGCTTTTGGCTAAAGGTATTTTTTTTCAGGAGTGGTTATTGTCTTCCTTTTTATGAGTGGTGTACACCACTTTTTTAATTACATGCTGTTTATTTTATTAGTATTGCTCCAGCATCTAAAGGCCTCAACTGAGATCTGTTTTGGTAGGCAGTGTTCTTGCAGTAAATGAGGAAAGTCTACCCCCCAAAATTTCATGACTGAAATTGGTGTGGGAAAGTGTGAAAGAAATTAAAGGTTGGTTTCTGATCTCTTTTACGCACCTTTAACATCTTTTCTCTTCATTATCTCAGTAACTCATTTCCAGACACTTTCTAATTTTTTATTATCCAATATCCTTACAACTGATGTCTCCACCAAATACTTCTAGTATCAGCTTTTGTTATTATTTCCTACAGTGTTTCCGTTTACTTTATCCTACTCTGTTCCATTTGCTATTCCCAATTTCCTCCATCAATCCCAAAATAGCTGGATGCAAATAAACATTTGAAAACATATAGCTTTCTGTATCATGATATGGATAGCAGGGCTTGTGTACCCACTTCTGAGGGAGGCTGCTTTTGCTTTTACTTTTACTTTAAAAAGCTTTTTTTTTTTTTTTTTATCAGATTCAATAGGCAGTGAGCTTTTTACCTCAGTTCCCCCCACTGAACCAACACAGGGAAAGTCTTGTATTGTAGGTTCCAGCAGCATCCTGAAAGTTCAAATGTAGTGTGTGGTTATGAAAGTCAACCTGGGTCTTTGTGAGACTGGGCCAGAATAAACACACAGTTTTAATTTACTTCTGTTTGTGAGAATAACAGTGCTGAACTCACTGGCATTACACTGGAGTTAATAACTAAAGTTTATAAAGCATAGTAGGGAGGGGAATTGATCACAGCATAAATGTTAACTCATAGGACAGCACATTTCTGAGAGCCAGAGAAAGGTCACTTGTTGCAGGGGAACACTTCTGACTGCCAGAGGGCCCAAGCTGACAATCTCTGTGATGGTTTAGCCCACCTATCAGGGCATTATACCTTTCTTGGAGATGCAAAGATCATTCCCACTAATGCCTATGGGAATTCTGCAGGTACCTCAGCAGGAGAGGATGCTGGTTAGGAGAGGATGGCCTTTCCAAGCTGGGTTTGAGGAGCACCACATAGTGCAGAAGAATAAGCAACATCCCTATGGCACCAAGGTACCGCAGGGACATGTGCCCTAAGCTATCTTGGAAGTCAATAAACCTGGAGAAAATGTGTGTCATGAAGCTTTTTCCCTTCTGGCCTACATGTAAGGCACTTGAGCAAAACTGGGAGAGCCTAGTTATCATTGGCACAACTGTTAATTCAGGTTAACGTTAGCAAAAGAAGTGCTGATTTGGAAAAAGTAACTTTTTCTTCAACCCTCCAGCCCAGCTGTCCTCCTTAGAGCTTTGGTCAGGGTGGTTTGAGAAAAATAATTTCATATTTACACGAAACCATTGCTTCCCAGATCCTATGTTTGGGAATTTTATACAGTCTCTTGATTCTTTTCTGACATAATCTGTTTCAAGGGTAAAAACAGATTCACCCCTAGCAAAAGGGGTATGTGAGTGTGTGTATTTCTTTTGGAAGTTCTTGAGATTTAACCAGTTTCTCTGGGATGTTTCCCCTAAGATTAGATTTCCCTTCCCTCCTTTAACTTTAGCAGCTGGTGTGTGATCTTTGCTGTTCTAACTGTTCTCCCTCTTTTTCCCTTCCTGTTTTGGACCACGTTTCCAAACACAGAGGAGAGGCCCAGAATAAAGTAAGTATGAAGGGCAGGGAGTTTCAAAACCCTGGAATCATTTTTCTGATCTAGCAGAAGCCCTTAGATTGCCTATTAGGCAATTGACCACTAGAAGCCTTTATCCAACCCTCTGTTGTGCAACATCCAGCTGTTGCTCCATGCCCTTCCAGGATGTCTGCTTCAGCCAGAGGATGCCTCAGCAGAAATTACCAGCCAGGGTCTTGAGACCAGTTCTTGACAGAGTCAGAGGACTCGGGAACTGACCAAGATACAGCAGACCCACAGTACCCCAAGACATAGGCAGCACAACAGTAAATCTGTGAGAGACCATGGCTGGGAAACTACCCATCTATCCAGGATTGCTGACAGTAGGAAGGGTTGCAAATATGGAGTGGGATGACTTGAGTATAACTAAGGTTTCCTATGGACCTTCCAGCTCTGGGCCCCAGCACCTTTCCTTCCCACTCTGACATCTGACTAGAATGGAGGGTGCAGCACTATGCCGACAGCCTTGTGGACTAACGTCTTCCCATGTGGTAGGGAATGACCATAGGCTTTGGGAATGGGAAGCATTTTTAGGGGTAACTCCCTGCCCTGCCTGACCTTCCAGGAAGGACAATGATCCTTAGTGCTGTTCTGGAGTAGTTTTTCATGGACTTGCTCTTTCACCTCTCTGTATCTCCATGAACATTCCTCTTTGTCAGCATCATTCCTGAGGGCAGGACAGGGCAGGATGTACTTTTTAAAAAGCCGCCTGTTTTTTAAGATTAAAATCCTTCTCTGTTTTTTTTTTTTTTCTTGTTTGTTTTGGTTTTGACTCTCTGCAGACTAACTGCTCCTAAAATACCAGAGGGTGAGAAAGTAGATTTTGATGTAAGTATTATTGGAACTGGCTGTATTTGTCTGTCTGTACCTGAGCAACACACATGTGCCAAACCTGCGTAACTCACCTTGTATTGGATATTGCTGAGGATAAAGTCAAGGACAAAAGTGTGGATGCTTTGCCACCTCTTTTCAGTGAAAGACTACTCTCTGCTCCCTGAAACTCTCCGGGTGGATTTGTTGATAATGTGACTAAGCTAAAGAAGTCATGTATTTCTTTTTGTTCTCCTCGAATTTTTGAAGCTAGTATATGAAGAAAGGAGAAAGCCAATGGTTTAGGAGATCTCAGATTCCCTGTTCCATTGTTGTAAATGGTCTGAAAGTTGCACATTGAAATAGAACAGACGTATGCATATCTGTTGCTGTGAAACACTACCTAAAATGACAATAATAGACAGAGATCCAAATACCTTCCTAGAAAGTTGATAGAAACTCTGTTGTTGAAAGTCTCCACAGAAGTATCTGCTTTGCCAAAAATGCAGGAACATATCTAGATAAGGTTCATATCTTAAAGCAAAGAGGAGGAAGCTAAGTATATGCAAAGACAGGTAGCTAAGCAAAGCCAGGGATAAAATATGATGTTATGGGAGATATAGATTCTGTTCCCTTCTGGCCTTCTGATTGTCTCTGACCTTCATCAACAGCTGTTTAAGCTAATCCCATAGTTTTCCATGGATATCTGCAGACATTTTCTGCTTTTGTTTTTCCGTGTAGGCAAGATGCTAGGAATGTCCAGGGCATGTTCACAGAGCAATATGGGCTTACTTAATTTATTTTCCTGCTCTTCTAGGACATCCAAAAGAAAAGGCAGAACAAAGACCTGATTGAACTACAGGCCTTGATTGACAGCCACTTTGAAGCCAGGAGAAAGGAAGAGGAAGAGCTGGTTGCTCTCAAGGAGAGGATTGTGAGTCCTTGTACTGCCATTTCCCTGTACTAGATTGAGAAATCCTGTGTAGGTGAGGAGTTAAATCCATTAGTCCACAGTCAGACTTTGTCAGAAAGCTGTATTGCCATGTACAGAAGTGACTGCTCTAGTCAACACCAAATGGCTTCTCCCCACACCTGTTCCCTCTCTCAGCCTCTCGTTTTACACCTGGGAATTGCACATGGGACCCTTCTGCATGTTCTGGCAAGGGAGTAGGTGGCTTACTCTCTACAAATCAAAGCTCTGGGTGGTGGGGCATAATACTGGAGGTAGATAAAGCCACAGTGATGACTCAATGCCTCTGCCACTGCCTCTTGCAGGAGAAGCGTAGAGCTGAAAGAGCAGAGCAACAGAGAATCCGGGCTGAGAAGGAGAAGGAGCGTCAGGCAAGGCTTGCAGTAAGTGTCTTTGCATCTCTGTCCTTGCCTCAGCATCAAATTGGAGGTGATCTCTAGAGACAGAAAAAATCTACAGGTTCTGCCTCTCTCAGTCTGAAGAAGAAATGACTACCCTCTTAAAGTGAGGGCAGAAAACAGGAGCTGCTGCCAATTCTCAGATGCTTATCTGATCACTTTCTCCACAGTGAAAGTGGCTGCTGTGGAAGCTGTGAGACTCCCCTAGAGTAACTTGCTGCTTCTGTGTGTTGCACTCCACAGGAGGAAAAAGCACGGAGAGAGGAAGAAGATGCCAAGAGAAAAGCTGAAGATGATCTCAAGAAGAAGAAGGCTCTGTCCTCCATGGGTGCCACATACAGCAGCTATCTGGCTAAGGTAAAAAGCATGGATTGGAGGAAGAAATATGGAAACGTTAAACCACAGGGTCGACTGGGAATAGTCTTTATTACAATTTGAGAAAAAAGATCAAATTCCCTTCTTCTGGATCCCTAACACACTGTCTTACATGCTCTGTCACTGAGATTGTTTCATTCAGGCTGAATTTCTGCAGTCTGACATTAACTGATGTTCTGAAAACAGGCTGATCAGAAGAGAGGAAAGAAGCAAACAGCTAGAGAGACAAAGAAGAAGGTCTTGGCAGAGAGGCGCAAGCCCTTGAACATTGACCACCTTAGTGAAGACAAGTTGAGGTAATGCTTATCCTAACTTACTGAATGTAAGCCACTGAAATTTGGTCTTATTTTCCTGGAGACTTCCCTAGTGAAAAGATGAGGTAGAGGAGAGGGTCTTCCTTGAAATTCATCAGGAACACTGTTAAGTTGTGCCTTTCCTTGATCCGGAGAATGGTGGGGAAATAGGAATGTGGGGAATTGTTGAAATGGTTTGGTAGCCACCTAGCCATGCTCCTGGCATAGCTTGGTTAGCCTCTCCTGCTAATTAGAATTAGTCATTTATACAACTAGGTACAAACTTTAAAACTAGTTCTGAGGTTAGTTTGAACAAACCTATAGATTGGTAGCATTCCCAGGGGGTAGTTATTGCTGCTAAGTTATGAGTATGTATCTCCACAGAGGCTGGAGGCCTGGGAGCTGATTGCTCTGGTGCAGACAGAGCAGTCATCAGGTGATAGTCTGAACTCCACACATTGAAGTTTACACATATTTGAAGATGAGGTTGGCTTATCTCAGCCCTGAAACAGATGAGATTGCACAATGGCAGCTGCTTTGCTCATCTGAGTGGCCTTTGGAGTCCTCTTTTCCTCTCGTCTGATTCCTTTCCCTCTCGTCTGATTCCCCTGGAATCTTTTCTTTCATTAAGAGTCATAGGGGAAATAAAATCTATAGGAAATATGTTAGTGTGTGACTCATGCAAGAGTGCAAGTCTAAAAGGTGAGAAGGTGAGAAAAATGTGACTGTGAATAGCTTTCAGAGAATGGAAAGGGTTTGCAGGAAGGTACGTGAACTGCATTGAATAAAATGTAAATAGCCTCATTACTAGTGCCATAAAAACTGTAGAAAATATATGATGTGATGTGTTTTTCTCATCTTCCTTTCCCCATAAACACACAGGGACAAGGCTAAGGAACTGTGGGACTGGTTATACCAACTGGAGACTGAAAAGTATGACTTTACAGAACAGATCAAGAGGAAAAAATATGAGGTGAGTTGAGAAGCCATTTTGCTAATGGCTCTGGGTCTGAAATGTAAAAATTTCTGTGACTCCTCTGGCAAAAGCCATGTGGTGACATCATTTGGGTCTCCAATGCCCTTTTGCAATATTTAAGCAGCAAGACACCTGGAACTGCATTCCCATAACATACATACTTGGACTGGATTTCACACTTTAGGCTAAAATTGAACAAACTACTCTCAAGGTTTTCAGTGCCCCATGCGAAGGCAATCCCAATGGAAAATGGACTCCCCATTCTCTGCTCAAACATTCATTCTTGTTTATGTATTGGTAACAGTGGCCTGAAAATTCAGTAACTCTCAAGTCACTCATCCCTATTGCAAAGTAATATTTTTAAATCCATCTTTGATTTCACACTTGAACTTTGTAAGTTTTATTCCCATCCTAGACAGATTCCCTGTGGACTGAGCTCTCTGGAGTCACTGAAAACTGTCTCCAGACAGAAGCATCTGGCTGAAGTGTCATATGGTAACAGAAAGTGGATGTGTTTCCTTCACAAACAGTCACAGGACAGGGCTGCACTCACCTACATCAGGATTCAGTGGCTGAGAAATCCTACTGGATCTCTGTCTCACTCTCCTTTTAATTCCCAATCACACAGACACATACTGACAGAGAATGAACAACACCATTGTAACTATCTCAATCTCTCTTAGCTTTTAACAATGCGTTGCAGGCTGCAGGAGCTTTCCAAATTGTAAGTACAATGAACTTGCCTGTGTAACTGCAGCAGCAAAGGCTACCAAATGCATGAGCCTGCCGCATGGTCAGAGGCCAGGTGCCAGGCAGAAACTGGTGCTCGGCTTCAATTGCAGAGAGAAAAGAGAAAACTGGATCTTGTGTCTCTCCCTTCCCTTCCTTTTTCTCTCCCATTCCATTCATTGAAAAGAGATGAAGTAATGACTTTGAAAAAAGTCAGGGTCCAACAGGGATGTGGCTAAAGAACAGAGCATGCAACCCAATCTGACCATCTTTAAAATAATTCCCTATCCAAACCTCTGGTATTGCGTGTGTGTGGGAGTCACCCTGATGCACCCGGGATACATGCAGAGGCTTAGGGATGGATGTGTAATAGCTTGGACTTCACCGAAAATAATGGTATGGGGTTTGGAAGGATTCTCCACCTTGTGGCACATGCTTATCCAGATCCAAAATATTGGTAACAGTCAATTGGCTGTGGAAAAACAGGAATTAAAGCAGTGCCAGGGGATATTCATGTGCTATGGTAATGAAACCTCTGCATAAACAAAAAGCTGGGTGGCTGCTGCTGAAAAGCAAGGGGAGAAAGTACAAAGAATGAGCAAAGTAGAAGGAAAATGCACAGCTGAGTTGGGAGAAAAAAAGGGTGGGAGAAAAACAAAGGGAAGATGATAGCAGGGAAAAAAAAGTGAGGAGAAAGGTAAGTGAAAACAGCAAAGGGAGTGAAAGAGACACAAGCAAGTATGCAAGGGAGAGACAAATGAAGGCACTGGGACACACAGGAGTGGAGCTGTTCTTTAGCTCTAGTGTCTGTTGCTCTTTGGTGCTTCATTGGAGAGTTAGTGTTATAGTCACTATCACAAGGTTATCACTGAAGGTAAGTCTAAAGTCCTTGGGTCAAAATGACGACAACTGGTTCTCCTGCACACTTGGGAGAAAAACTTGGTTGCAAAAAATAATTTAAACCACTGCGGCAGATATTAAAACTTCCATGAGTAAGTACAAAAGCAGGTGACATGCTGATCCCTTTGTTCCTTGTGCTGTCTTGTTTCCACTGATGTTTCAGTCTCTTACTTTGTTTCTGTTTGCCACATAAAGAAATGACCCAGGAAATACTGGATGTTGGGCCAATCAGAATGTATGACTTTTGTTTTCACTTGTTTTGGACATGAGAATCTCAAGTACCACTTTAAATACTCAAATGTTGGGTCATCAGTTCTTGGACTTGTAGAGCCAAAGGCAGAAGCAAATCAGATATCTTGGCAAGTGCATTTTTCTACCCCAGGAAAGCTAGGCAGAACCTTGACTCAGTTACAAAAGAGAGCTCTCTATCACACCCTAGTTCTTGTGGGCTTTTCCAGGGTGTGAGCTGGGAGAGTCCTAGAATTTCAGTAGCGAGTCCAGGGCCAGGACTGAGGTGGTAAGTCAGACCATAAGGTATTCATCCTGTGCAAGGTAGGTGTTTGCTTTCCCATGCATCAGGCTGGAATACGAAATATACTCACGGCTGAACTAAGAGATGTTCCGTCTTGTAGGACAGACTTTCTAGTGGCTTGCAGTCATCAACAGATCTGGGGAAGGTCTTCAAAGCCCCCACTTCAACCTTTTCCTTTCTGGTTGCTGAAGGTCTCCTTGAATATTTTCTTCTTCAGCCCCTTTAAAAGTCATCTTTTCTTACTAAATGAGCGGCTGGGAAGGTGGTAACTGCTGCAAGATCCTCACCTTCTGCTCTGCAGCAAGCAAAGGTACTCCAGCAGAATGTGAAACCCATCTTCCATTCTTGAGGTCCCCATCCAAAAATCACTGAAGCTCTTTGAGCTTATACACTTCCTAATGTGCAGGAGTAGGGGAAGAGTGAGAAGGTAAGGTGATGGAGCCATCCAAGAGCTTTCTGGCTGGCCAGGGTAACACTCATTCCAGTTTGCTTGCCTGCAGTTTGACATATGAGTTCACAGAAGAATAATTTGTATATGTCAGAACTCTTCTAAAAGGGTTATAAAACTCTAGTTTC